GGTTCTTACTTCTGGTCGCACCAGCACTGGGCGGTCACTGGATCTGTCTATTTCGTAAGTTATGCTTATGTTCAACTTCTAAGTTCCACTGCACCATGCAGTTATCTTAGATCTGCCATAAAGAGTCCCAGGCCGGCGATCATTGATCACAATTTTGCAAACCTACCCCAATTTTTCAGTCACGCAGAAGTGACACACATACATTGAACAACCGGAAGATACTAGCTGAAGTTATTCAGCTGAGGGTCGAAGGCCCAACATAACTGCGACCGACGTTTGGGGAACCATTCTAGTAATATGGCTAATGTGGGATCCTTTGAGCCAGTTGGGCAGAGTATTCTCAATATCTGCTATTACATGTCATATCGTTTTATAAGCGAATCCTGATTGAAGTTGTTGGTATGTGCACGCGCTACTTGGCCCGTGAGAAACCGACCTCAAAAATGATATAAAAATGATAGTAAAAAAAGTATAAAGTCCAAAAAAAAGTACAAAATGATAGTAAAAAATGCAGTAAAAAAAGTATAAAGTTATTTTAGCTGCATTGGTGCAGCAAGAGAAGGTGAATTAATTGTCGCCGATTCAACCGTGCAGAAGACGACCCGTAATTTAGCTTTCGTCAACACAACAATCTACCGAAAAGACAATCGCGCGATAATCGCTACAGGACAGGATGTTAGAACTTTCCTCGTGCCTGCTTGAACAGATATACGTGTATCCGCTAGTTGTTCAGTTAAAATTCGATATGTATTTTGCCGGGTAACTGCTAAAATTTGGCTTGGCTCGGCCGGAATGAGGTGCGAGTTGTGACGCTTTTGGTATGCACTGTCGAGTAGCGGGATGGAGGTAATGATGGGTGAGGAAAGAGGAAGAATCGAAAGTGCTGATAGGCTTTAGGGGGTCGTAATGGAAGGAAAGGGAAACTAATTGAGTTGGGACCGTGCTTGGAGATAGAAATTGGAGACAGGGAAAGGCGAGGATTGGGTTGGATATATGAGTTTATAATGCTCAACCAGGAAGTAGATGTTGAGTGGAAGTTGGTGAGCTTGCTTTGCGGTACCTAAAATCTCATCTTGACAAAAAATCTTGGTACTGTGCCTGACTATGATTTTCGCAGCTCATATATAATTCCCCAGACGAATGCATTCTTTTATATTAAACCCAACTGACTATTTATTGTGGATGCAAAATTTATGACTGGCCTTCCCAGTACAGCAGTGAAGTGAAAGTCTAAAATCTGTGTGAAATCTAAAATGACCAGTAGAAGACAACTTACAGGATGACATGATGGGGACAGTGCAGAAAGGAATTACTAAAATACGGCTCGGTTCTGCTTGGCCGGAAGTGGGTGTGAGTTGCAATTCTGATGGTGTGCAGTCTCGAATTAT